GAAGCCTCAGCCTCTCTGAGCCTCATTCCTACTGGTTTTTACAGCCAGAAGTGATGGGGATTCTCTTCCTGGCACTGGAACCCTGAGCTGGGGGCCTGGTGTGGGACGAGAACCCCTCACTCCTCAGGGAGGACCTTCCCAGCCGAGGTGTCCTCCTGATTTTATCCGCCACAGGTGAATGGGGGACCAGGTGAATGTGGGACCAGTCCCTCTGCACCTCCACGGTCCTACCAGTCTCGATGTGGCTTCTTTAATCTCGTAGTTGTAGGACTTCCATTCAGCTCCAGTTCTGAATGATGGTTGTGTTGTAGTTTAGTTGTAATTTTTCTTTTTATCCTCACCCAAGGATATTTGTGCATCTTCAGATAGAGCGGGAGGGAGGGGGGAAAAGAGAGAGAGAGAAACAGCCATGTGAGAAAGACACATAGATTGGTTGCCATCCACACAACCCCAACTGGAACCAGGGACAAACCACAGCCACAACCGAGGTGCCTGCCCCCAGCGGGAACCGAACCCGGGTCTCTCTGGTCCGCAGGCCGGCGCTCTCCCCGCTGAGCCAATCCGGCCAGCGCGTGTACCGCCGCTGCGGTGGGAGGAGGCGGTCTCGCGGTGTCCTACGCCGCCATCTTGGCTGCAAGTCCCGAGGTTTATGTTTTATTCAGTCTATGAGTGTGGATCACCGCCGGCTTAGTCGTGGGCAGGTACGGTCTGTTTTCACTTCTTGAAATATCGATGCATACGGATTTATTGCTACCATTTACTTTGTGTTTTCTGTTGGTACCGTTTTTCATAACCTTTCCCCTCACGTCCATACCTTCTATTCGATGTTTTTCTTTATACCTAGACTTACCCCTTTCCGTGGGTTCAGAGACGGTAAGTGGCACTGTAATTATTGTATTTGCGTGGCTGCATGCACGTTCACAGCATTTCTGAGAATTTAATGCGTCGTCTATAGAGGTGCGCTCACACCCGGTGGAGGTGCGTGCGGCTCACACCCACACGCGGGGCAGCCGGCCGACCCGCCGCCCGAATGAGGAGACGCATCCGCGTGAAGGAGGTCCCCCAGCCCGAGGACCTGTCTCTGAGTGCCAGTTAATCACGGCAACTTTCAACGCAGCGCAGCCAAATCCGCAACAGGAGCTCCAGAGGACTCGGCAACGCCACACACGGCAGCACGGCTCTGATTACCTAGTGAGCCTCCGTCCTGAGTCAGTGCTGAGCAAGGGTTCGATGACCTAGGCAGGATCAGAACTTCCGAAACCCAAGCACCAGTCCAGCTCCTAGAATACCAAATCCCACCCTGGCGAAGATGAGGAAGAAGGGGGACTCCCTTCCGGGACCTTGCGGCACCACGTGAACCCGCGTGCTGTCCGAGGCCATTCTGTGAGAGGGGCATGTGGTTTGTTCCTCAGCTCTGACGTCGTCGTCGTCATGGATCTAAGCCACTGAGCCAAGGGATAGAAGAAGGATGGGGAGCTGATGAGGCGAGAGGAAAGTTAGGCCAGAGAAACAGGGTATTTGAAACACAGTGACTCAGAAAAGAGGGGAGAAGCAGCCCCCCTCTCCCCCAGTTAGGACTTGCACGTGTATCCTCGCAAATTCAAGGCAACGCACCACCAGGACCTAACTGCGATGGCTGGATGGGATGTGCTAGAGAGGGCAATAAATACCGGGATAGTTTGGGAGAAGGATAAGTCATGAAGGAAGGAAGCAGGCAGATACAAACAACCACAGCCTCTGAGGTGTGACTGAAAGATAGAGGAAGGGACTAAGCATGGACCAGGGACTATCTAAGTACAGTCAGATGGAGGTATATGGATACAGGCACTGGGGATACAGTTGAGGGATACATGCAGTGAGGTCAGCCAAAGGCGGATTCTGGAAGAGGCTGAAATAATTAGGAGATTTCCCAGAGATAATTGGGCAAAGGATACTCATGGGTTACACTGTGTTCCCAAAGAGCTCACATGTTGACATCCTAACCCCCAGTGCCTCACAATGTAACCTTAGTTGTAACTAGGGTCATTACAGTTGTAATTAGTAAAGATGAGATCATACAGCAGAAGAGTGGGCCCCTAATCTGATATACCTGATGTCCTTATTAAAAAGGGGAAATTTGCAGAAACACACACACATACACAGATAATGACATGTGAAGATAGAGAAAAAGGTCAAGGTGATGTTTCTGCACACCTAGATCGCCAGCAAACCCCCAGGGGCTTGATCTCTGACTTGCAGCTGCCAGAATGGAGACAACACATTTCTGTTGTTGAAGCCACTCAGTCGTACTTAGTGCCTGCAGCCCCAGCAAAAGAACACACCTAGCACAATGCCAGGAGCAACAGCTCAGTAGGAGGCCCCCAGACTTCCCTCCCTCACCATCCCCTTGGGACTGATGCAGGAGGACAGGGACCTAATAAGATCTGGGAGGATCTGATGGTGGTGACTAAAGCACTTGGGAAGTGCTGTGTGGCTGACTCTCTCAGACTTCCTCCTGCTCACTCTGGCCATTGAACTTTGTAAGAAATACCCTGGGTGTCCACGTGGAGAATCTGTTGACATCATTGACAGAGGTGGGGAGGGGGGCACAGGGATGAGGGAGGAGAATGTGGGCACATGCTCTGCTCCAACTTTCTCCAAGCTGACAGTCGGGATAGTAGGGGGGACTTAATGGGAGGTGTTTCTGATTTCAGATGGGAGGAGGATGGAGAGGGATGCAATGGGTATGTGTCACGGTTTGTCTCTATCACTGCCCTTTGGCTTCTGCCCTCTTTCCTTCCCTTTTTTTTTTTCAAGTCTGATATTCCCCCTCCCTACCCCCATCTCTGTTTCTCTCTACTTCTTTTCCTTTCCTCATTTCCTCCTGTATCTGGGGCCTTGGGAAGGCTTGTGATAGATGGAGAAGTGCTGGGATCCCATCTCCTGTCACAACCTCTCCCACATTCCTTTCACGGACTGCCTGCAGCTGCCTTCACCATGGATATTTGGAGCGCAGCCTTCTTACTTCTGATGCTGACTCTTGCCTGTCTGCTCCTGACTCTCAGCTCAACGCACAAGGACTGACCTTCTCCAGTACCAGACCCCTCCCATTCCTGAAAAACTTGCTGTAACTTGGCTTCCAAAACAGGATGATGTTCCTCACAGAGGTACCAGCCCTTCAGCTTAGGGAGGGGATGGTGAGAACGCCAAACATGACCTCTGTCTTCCTACTCCCCAGTCAGGAAGTATGGCCCTGTGCACAATCTGTGTCTGGGATTAAGGCCAGTGGTGGTCTTCAGTGGGTGCCCAGCTGTGAAGGAGGCTCTTATGGACCATGATAAGAACTTTAGTGACTGGAATGACTTCCCTTTATTTTCCAAGTTGAACAAGAAAAGTGGTAAGCCTCTCCTCCATCCAAGAAAACACTTTTCCCATTGTTGTAGCATGAAAAAGGGAGATGTTTTCCTCAGCTTTCGTGTTCCTCGGGGTCCTTGATCCCACTAGGGACATCAGATGGCACGAAAATTGCACATTCCAGGACAGGAGATGAAGTTGCTCTACTTTCACCATTCCCAGACTCCATCACTAGGTTACATTTGTTCCAATCCCGGTTTTCATTTCAATCTGAAGCCCATTTTTATCCCAATCTTTATTTGAACAATAACCTCATACCCAATTTATACTTCAGTTGACAAGTAAAATTATCCAGAACGAGTCCTGACTGTCCATGTAAACCTCAACCCAATGCCCATTATAAATTTCCACAAACTACCCCATTCCTATTCTATTGGTCAAAATAAACTCGTGATTTTCCCCAACACTTAGATCCAGGTGATTCTGAGACTCTTGGGTGGGTTTTACAGCAGACCTCAGATCCATCAGAGAGAGTCAAAACTTCAGAAACTCACAGCAAATGAGTTCATGCATAAACCCAAAAGAACAGGCAATCATATACATGTACACACATTTGTTCATGACTGTGCCACGGCCAACATTCTCCCAGAATTCACTGAAGTCTTTTTCCCTTGCACCCAGTTCATTAAGAAATCTGATTCCTGTTCCCTGGTTCCACTCTGATCAGATCCCACCTTATTTGGTGAGGGATGTGATGTATGCCCTGGCATTTAAGGTGTGCCTGAAGGGGCAAGAGTATGGGCAAGTGTATGTAGTGAGGTCAGGTCAGCTGCCTGCCAGGACTCTGGAAAAAGTTCTTCGACAGAGCTGTTCATATTGTATAACAATATACTAAGTTATTGATTTTTACTTGAGGAAGAGGTGCCTTTTAAGAATCTACCCAGCCCTGGCCAGGGTGGCAAAGTGGTTAGAGTGTCAGTTTGTGGACCAAAGGGTGGTGGGTTTGATTCCTGGTCAAGGGCACGTACCTGGGCTGCAGGTTCAGTGCCCGGCCCCAGTCAGAACGTGTGTGGGAGGCAACCAATGATGTGTCTCTCTCACATTGATATTTCTCTCTCTCTCTTTCTCCCCCCTCTCCTGCCCTTTTACTCTCTAAGAATTGATGGAAAAAATATTCTGGGCTGAGGTCTAACAACAATGACAATTAAAAACAGAATATACCCAAAGGACACTGGGCTGAGTATAGCCATTCCTGTGCAGATCTGTGTTCAAGTACTTGCTGAGCACTAATTGTGTTCTGTGGGATCTCAGAGAGAGACTTAATCTTTCTGAGTCTCAGCGGTCACCTGTAAAATGGGCACAAACCTGTTGCATAGGTTTGTGAGCAGTAAGGGAGGTGAGTGTGTAATGCTTTTAGCATAGAGCAGACACAGAGTACTTCTCAATAAATAACAGCTGTTTTTATTATTTTTATCATTCACAGTACAGTGTAAGGTTTCCCTTCCTCTCACCGCAGCTCTGAAGGCTCTATCTCTAGCAAGGTGAACAGACAGCCATCGTTTCTTCTTACTCTCCTATCTACCTCACACCTTCCTTTCCTGCACTCCACCTCCATTCTTAGTGCCACCCCTCCTGCTCTCCCTTCCCGCTAGCCCCTCCCACACTCACCCATACATTTGCTCCTCCCGCTTATCCCTGCCCTAAGGCAGCTCTAGCTCAGCGGGGCAGGAAGCTCATGACATAGTTTCTTGGGATGGTGGCAAAGCCCACACTTTGAGGGGAAATATCAATGTCTTTGGGCATCTGTGGGGACTTGAAGCAGAAGTTCTGCATGATGGTGGTGAGGAAGAGAAAGAGCTCCATTCTAGCCAGGTTGTCTCCCAAACAGTACCGCTTCCCTGAAAAGACAGTGGGAAGGGCGGAGGTGAAACCTCCTCTCACTGACACCTCTTCTCTCCCCTGATCCCCAGTTGCATTTTCTGGGGAGGAGGGGATGGAACATAGATTTCCAGTTGCAATCTCTTGGAAGGAGGAGATGGAATATAGAGGCCTGAAGACTTTTAGAGAGGTCTCTAATCTCCTCTGAGCCTCAGTTTCCTTCGTACATGGGATGGGACAAACCATATTAGGTTGTCGCAATGGGATTTTTAGATGAACCTTCCTCTCAAACATACAGATATGGCTCCTGTACTATCATCTTCTTCTTAGGAACCTGAAGAATTTAAGTGAGCCTGAACAAAACTCTGACTCACTCTTGGCCTTAATTTTTCCCATTTCTGAAATGGAGATCATCGTTTCTTCTTTTGCATGGGCTTAAGTACTTGATAGTTATGGGGCTGTAGTTGGTTGGCTGCAGGGTAGATCATAAGAGGGACTCTGCAGCTGGAGAAAGGTAGTAGGTAGGCTATACCTCAGAGAGGGAGCTGGGATGAAGGAGGCCCCTGTTGGTGTGACTGCTGGCTTGGCAACAGACAGTGGTCTCTTACCGATGGAGAAGGGGACAAAGGCATCATTCTTCTTAAACTGCCCCTTCTCATCTAGGAAATGCTGGGGGTTGAAATCTTCAGGGTTGGAGAAGAACCTGGGGTCCTTTAGCACAGAGCCCAGCATAGGAAACACTTCGGTGCCCTGTGGGGAGGAGGAAGGAGATTTGACAAGGTGGAGGGGAAGGGGTATGCTGAGAGAGCATGGGGTTAGAGGGGGAACTGGGGTGCCATAATTGAGGAGAAATGGGAGGCAGAGGAGTCAGGGTCCTCTCTGAAGGAAGACCTTTGGGGGACATGACATTTAGGCCCCTGAGACAGATTTTGAGGAGCCTGGAATATTTGTCTCCTGAGACAGAAGGTTTGTGGGACATGGAGTTCATGTCTCCTAAGAAGTTTGAGGAGCACAGGTCCTGTGTACATGCAGTTCACATCTCTAGGCAGGATGTTTGGGGGGACATGAGAGTCATGTCTCTGAGGTAGGAAGTCTTGGGGAAGTAAGGTTTATGTCCACTGAGACAGGAAATTGGAGGTACATGGGTTCATATTCACGGAGGCAAGAGGTCTTGGGGAGATACAGGATTCAGGTGTCTCTGAGTGGGAAGGTTGAAGGGACATGTGATTGGGGAAGTCTTTGATTGAGGGAGTGGGACAGGGCTTGGGAAGCTTGTAAGGGGGATGGGGTGCTGGGTCACAAGGAGCAGGTTGGAGGCCCCACTAGGTGGGGCAAGGGCAGCACCTTGGGGATGAAGAAGCTGCGAAACTTGGTGTCCTTGGTGACTCTGCGGGCGAGGCCCATGGGGATCATGTCTCCGAATCTTTGGATCTCGTGGATCACTGCCTCTGTGTAGGGCATCTCGGACTTGTCTTCGTACTTGGGCTGACGGTTTTTGCCAATGACCCGGTCAATCTCCTCATGGACCTTGGCTGTGAGATAAGGGGGTATATGTTTAGGTATTAGGGGTGTTGGGGCAGGATTGAGAGTCGAAATATGTACAATTGGATGGATATATGACATGCATGACATCCATGTGTGACGTGGATGTAGATCATTCAAAACAGAGGCTGGTCCGTGGAGTGGTAGCTTGAAAGGCACCAGAAACCTATGGGAAGAACTGAGCTGATTGGCACTGGAGCGAGGGCTGAAGAGGCGGCTTTCTCCTGGACAGATGTGCTATCAGATTTCTTTTTCCCTTTGGTGAGCCCTTCCCTGGGGTGGCAGATGGGCACCATATCTGGGACTCCAGCAACCTGGCTCACATTGGTTGCCCTGCCCTGGTGATTCCCTGAGGCCCCCCCCCCCCACCCAACTTTCAGGCCCACCCAACTTTCAGGCCCACCCAAGCTGTTGCCAGTTGCTTTACCATAGGATTGGCCTGTCTTGAATCCTGCTTCAGGTTTTCCTAAATTGTTTCAAACAAGCAGCATCTGGTCTCAGCTAGCCCCATTCCTCTCGTTAAGTAGTACATAGAAACAAACACAGGGAGGCAACCAAATTGAGGAGACAAAGAAACAGGTTTTAAATGAAAGAACAGAACCAAACTCCAGGAAAATAACTAAGTGAAATGGATGGAGATAAGCAATCTAACAGATGCAGAACCAAAACACTGCTTATAAGGATGCTCAAAGAATTTAGTGAGAACCTCAATGGATTAGTGCCTTAAGAGCATAAAAAAGGACCAGTCAGAAATGAAGGATGTACAGTCAGAAATAAAGGAGGCACTAACTGAAATAAAAATGATTTACACAGATTCAGTAGTAGAGTAGATAACTCCAAGAAGCAAACCATCGATTTGGAATATAAGGAAGCAAAAAACACCCAATCAGAAAAGCAAAAAGAAAAAAGAATCCAAAAAAATGAGGATAGTGTAAGGAGCCTCTGGGACAATTTCAAGCTGCCAACTTTTGCATCTTTGGGGTGCCAGAAGGAGAAGAAAGAAAGCAAGAAATTGAAAACCCATTTGAAACACTAATGGCAGAATACTTTCTTAAGTTGGTGAAGGAAACAAACATACAAGTCCAGGAATCACAGAGAAACCCAAACAAGATGAATCCCAAGAGGCCCACACCAAGACACATCATCATCAAAATGCAAAAGATGCAAGATAAAGAGAGAATCTTAATAGCAGCAAGAGAAAAGCAGTTAGTTACCTACAATGAGCCCCCATATGACTGTCAGCTGATTTCTCAAAAGGAACTTTGCAAGCCAGAAGGGAGTGGCCAGAAATATTCAGAGTGATGAAAAGCAAGAACCTACAACGAAGACTACTCTATCCTGCAAAGCTGTCATTTACAATCGATGGTCATATAAAGAGTTTCCCAAATAAGAACAAGCTAAAGGGGTTCATAACCCCGAACCATTATTACATGCAATGGTGAAGGGTCTTCTTGAAGAAAAAAATAAAAAATATGAACAAACAAAATGGCAATGAATACATATCTATCGACAGTTGAATCCGCGAACAAAATGAACTGGCAGAACAGAAGCATTCTCATAGATACAGAAAACATGTTGTTGTTTGCCAGATTGGAGGTGGGTTGGGGGAATGGGTGAAAAAGGTGAAGGGATTAAGTACAAATTGGTTGTTAGGCTGACAAACCTCAAAGGGAAGGGGGAGTTGGAGGGTGAGAAGAAATAAACCAAAGAGCTTATATGTGCATATGCATAACCAATGGACACAGACAACAATGTGGGGAAAGGCAGGAGGTGGGTGGGAGTGGGGAGGAGGGGGTCAATAGGGGAAAATGAGGAACATCTGTAATACATTCAGCACTAAAGATAAAAAACAAAACAGAGGCTGGTCATCAGCATTGTTGGCACAGGGTCCTGACACCTGGTTGTGCCAGAATCATGGGGGAAGCTGTGAGGGAGGAGTCTTGGGGATGGACTGGAGGGGCAGGTAGTGGGCACTCGGTTGGCTCAGCACAGGAGCTATTGTGAATATTTTAACAGCTAATGAAACTGAGCGGGTGCCCATTAGCTGAATATCATCACCGGGTCTCTGGATAACAGGATGTGTCTGAGGACCCAGGGATTTGAGAGGTGGGGACAAGGCAGCTGCTCAGAGGAATTCTGAGGGTCTGTGGCCCTCACTCCCCTGTCTCCTCCAGCCTTACCCTCCACATCCGGGTGCTTCATGAGCATCAGGAAGCCATAACGCAGGGTCGTGCTGACTGTCTCGGTGCCCGCAAAGAAAAGGGTCAGCGTGGTCATCACCAGGTTCTTCAAGTGGAACTCTGTGTTGGGGTTCTTCTGTTCCTGCAGGGAGAGACAGCTCAGGCCTCGACCCCGCCCCGTGCTCTCTGGATCCTTGTGGGTTTTTTTTTTCGTCTGGACCTGCCTCTTGTAGATCCAGACCAAAGGTGGAAGAGGGACCTTAGTTCTGCCAGGCTTTTTCCCAGGCTGTTGGCTCTGCCCCAGATGCTCTTCTCACACTCTTTACCCAGCTGACTCTCTGTTATTTATTTATTTACTTACTGATATAATTTTCTTTATTGATTATAGAGAGAGAGGAAGGAGAGGTAGAGGGAGACAGAAACATCAATGAGAGAGAACATGGATTGGCCACCTCCTGCATGGCCCACATTGCGGTTTGGGCCCACAACCTGGGCATGTGCCCTGACCAGGAATCGAACTAGTGACCTCTTGGTGCATGCGTTGACGCTCAACCACTGAGCCACACTGGCTGGGCTCTCTGTGCTTTAATTATCAGCTTAGTTGTCAATTTTCAATTATAGAAACATTTTAAGATGAAGGACTAGAGAGAGACAGTGAGTGAGGAGAGACAGAGAGACCATGAGAGAGAGTTGAAGAGAGACATATTTTTGGAGACACAGAATTTGAAGCAACAGCACCTATTCCTTCACAGACAATCTTGAAGCTTACTCTAGAGAACCTACTCCCTGGTACTTTCACCTTGAACTTCAGACTCCATAAAGTCCCATGTCCTTTCTTCACAGAAAGGAGATTGACATCCAGATAGGGAGGGACCCCCGATGTCACCTAGTGAAGCCAGCTGGCCTGCGCACACAGGTGTATCTGATCACCAGGGGATGGAAGGGCAGAGCATGGCGGCTACCAGCACCAGCCTTAGAATTCGAGAGACCAGGGTTGCAGTGAGGTGCCCCTGCTTCCTCACCGGGTGACCTCAGGCATGGCACTTATACTCTGGGCCTCAGGTTTCTCATTTGTAAAATTGAAGACACAGTAGAGCCTTCTCCAAGAGCTACTGAGAGGGTTAAGTAAGTGAATACTGTAGTTTTAAAAATAGTGTGTGGTGCACGGAAGTGTTTTTATATGCTTGTTATGGTGATTTGCACACACAGGTCCTGCCCGTGGGGATGGGGTAGGCATGCTGAAAGGACCTCTGGTGTCCCTCACCCGCAGCCTGAGTTCCCTCTGCTGGGCTTTGGTCCTCTCTGCATGGCTGCTGGCACCTACCTCCTGCATGCGGATGAGGAAGGAGTCAATGAAGTCCCGTGGGGAGTTGGGATCCAGTGTGCGTTGGTTCTCCTCCACCTTCTTGGCTATAAAGTCCTCCAGCCCCTGAAGCTCCTTAAATGCCTGTTGTTGTGGCCCTGGCAGGTGTCTCATCACTGAGGAGAACATCTCATAGAGCTGAGGATGGGGAGAGAAGGGAAGGGAATGACAGCTGTTGTGGACGTCACCTGATGGGCATGGGACTTGTCTCAGGTCAAGGGAGGCACTGGTTTAATGGCACCTGTTCACCTATTTAGATGAAGCTGGATGGAAATAGATATCTAAGTTTATATGTGAGTTAAGTGTGAGGGCCCTGTCCAAGGATTTAGTTGAGACACATTGGGGCACTTATTCACATTCCTTTATTGCCTCTCTCCCTCCCTCCCTCTCTTCCCTTTTTTTTTTTGTAAGGGGAGTAGTAGTTGACCTATCCAGGTATTGCAATCAGGGTATTAGGCACCTGTCCTGGGCTCCTGTGCTACTGTTCAGTTGTCTAAGCGGGAAGGCTGGTTTTGTGGGGGACCCTGTCTGGAGGAGGATAGCAGTTTGGGGCAGCTGTGTCAGTGTGGGCGAGCCGCTGGCTGTCTGTGGTAGGGCCACAGTAGAGCCATGTTGGGACCAGTTACCTGCCCCGTAGATGTAGCTGTGAACTGGAAACTTCCCAGCATCATGCGCAGCAGTGACAGGAATTCTTTGTTCTGGTAGTCAAAGCGGTCCCCAAAGACAATGGAGCTGATGACATTGGAGACAGTTCGGCTCAGGAAGAAGGTGGGGTCGATGAAGGCGCCTGGCAGGGGTGGGGGAGAATGGATTTAGGGGAAAGAAAGGATTTGTTAGGCGGAGGCCAGTCTGGTAATTCGAGGAACCCCTTCCCCCAACCTAGTTCCCTTCCCAGGCCAGATCAAGCATGTCCGGGTAGTGTGTTTTGCTCCCCTGTATTCTGGGGTCCCTAGCTCACCACGCGTGTCTCTAAAGGCCTCAAGGAGGAATCCCGCTTCCTCCTGGATGCGCTCCTCGATGCCGCGCTTGCCCACGCCGAAGTCCCGCAGCGTGGTGATGGCGAAGCGACGGAGCTGCTTGGAACGCTCCCCATTGCTGAACGCCACGCCTGGGGAGGGCACGTGGGCAGGGCGAGAAGACAGAGAGGGGCGGAGTCAGAGCGAGGTGGCAGAGAGAGAGAGAGAGAGAACACACAGAGTCAGAAATGCAGAAAGAAATCGAGACCATTGGAAGAAAATCAGAAGGCAAGGGGCAACACGGATGCAGAGAGAAACAGAGAGATGCAGAGACACTCCTATGAAGAGAGAGAAAGAGGTAGAGGAGGGAAGGAGGGGAAGTGGCATTTGTGGAGATCTGGGACGTGGAAGTGAAAATTGAGAGGGGTTCTAAAATTCAGCTGGAGAAGAGAGTAAAACACAGACTGGAAAACAGAGAGGGGCTGGAAAGGGGAGAGGCTGTTACCAGGATGCATGGGGATTTTGAAGCTGAAATAATGTGAGATTTTAAGACAAAGGATAAAGAGAGGCAGGGAGAGGGAGACCGAAACATGGGGAAACACAGATGCTTAGAAGGAGATGAAGACAAAAGGACACATGGAAATTGAGGACCAGGGTTCCAAAACAAAATCCCAAGAGCTTAAGACATATAGAGGAAGGAGACATATCTAGTGAGAGAGAAGGGGGGGAGGGGCAGGGAGAAGCAGGGAGACGCAGAATCACAGAGACAGAGGAGACCAGAGGAAGGGCTCTGCCACAGCCTTGAGTGGGTGGGTGAATTGGTAAGAGTGTTGGGGTAACTGAGGCCATCTAGTCAGCTTGACCACCTTCCCCAGCCAGAGTCCCCCTCACCATAGCCTTTGAAGAGCCAGTCGAAGGTGGCCTGCTGGCCTCGCCCACTGAATTCCTCAGCCTGGTCCACCAGAGCCTCCTTTACAGCATCATGTCCACACAGCACCACGACCCGGCGCCGGCCCAGGTGGACCGTGAACACGGGACCATAGCGCTCGCTGATCTGATGGAGAGACGTGGGAGTGGTGAGAGCCAGCAGCCCCAACTCTGAACTGACTCTGTACCCAGACCTTACAGACTGGGGTTCATTTTGCCCAGGTTCTGATGGTCCAGGGACTGGATTCCCAAATCTGGTCTTTCCTTGCTGGGTCCCTGAGGCTAATCCTTCAGAACTCCCCCTTCCTGCCCTGGCCATTGTGGCTTGATTGGCTGAGCATTGTCCCATGCACTGAGAGGTCTCCGGTTTGACTGCTGGTCAGGGAACATGCCCGGGTTGTGGGTTCCATCCATGTTTCTCTCTCTCTCTCTTTCTCCCCTTCCCTACCTCTCTCTGGAATCAATAAAAATATATTTTAAAAAATCTCCCTCTTCCTAAGATGTTGGTCCAACCTTGCCAACCCCTTGCCACAAAGTCCCAGCAGACTGGGCAAGCCCCCAGCCCACCCTACCTCCCATTTCCCTGCCTCCTGACACCTTCATGAGGGAGTTGTACATCTGCTCTGTGTTCAGCTGCAGGTAGTTCCCGATGAAGGGCAGTGCGGGGGGCCCGGGAGGCAGCTTTCCCCAGAGCTTCCTTTCCCGCCAGACAGACATCAAGACCATCATAGTCAGGCAGGCCAGCAAAGCCACCAGAAGCAGCCCTGAGGCCAGCATATTGGGATGGAGAGTGAAGGTCAATTGGTGACACCTGGATGATTGGCCTTTATATTGCCTGGGAGAGAAGGGTGGACTTTGGCTCTGATTATATAACTGTATCATTTCACCTCCCAACTACACCCCTGGCCTTGCTCCCGCCTTGCTTGTGATATAGGCAGTCACGGAGGAGGGTGGACTCCAGGGCAGATTAACAGGGAGTGGGTCCAAGTCTGAATCTGTGGTCCCTCCTGAAGGCCAGCCCAGGTCTGTGGACTTGGAGGACAGTAGAGAAATTTCAGAACTGACGATTCTGGAATATTTGCATGTATGAGCCCTTGAGCTTGGGATTTGGGGTTTCAGAGTAAGAAGGCACCCCAAAGTTGTGGATTTTGCAGTTTTGGGAGAGAAGCTTCAAAGATGTAAGGGTATTGGAATGAGACAAGATGCCTGGCTGTGGGTTTGGGGGTCTTTTGCTGAGCAGGGATATAGGTCTAAGGATGAGAGATTTCAGGGAATAGATCTGAGGGTTTTGAAGTGAGAAGCACCCCGGGAGTGGATGTGGGCTTTTGTGGGGATAAATATATGAAGAGTCCAAGTGGATTGTGGAGTCAGCTCCTGACCCCAGATGCTGACCTGCTTCTATTTGGGACACAATACGGTATCCTGATGCCCAGAATCCTCCTTGGAACCTCAAAGTGAGATCAGGATGTAATGTCACAGAACTGCCCATCTCTGCTTAGGAATGGGATCAGACCCGAGACACATTTCAGTGGAGCTTTCCACAGAACTGGAGAAGAGGTCCTCATGGTCTCAGTTGCAGAGGGAAGGGCCAGGACTTGGGCAATAGTAATAACAACCATGATACGGTATGAAAAAAATCCCAACTGCCAAAAAGTGAAAACAGAAGAGGATAATAAAAATCCCAACTGTCTCATGGGCTATAATTCACAGTCACACTGGTTCCCTACCAGGTCCTTAGGGGAGCCCACTAAGTTGATTGTATCATTTCTGTTGTTCTTCTTCTTATAAATGTTTCTCATTTTATTTTACTTTATTTTTTTGTTAATCCTCACTTGAGGATATTTTCCTGCTGATGTTTAGAGGGAGTGGAAGGGAGGGAGGTGGGAGGGAGAGAGAGAAACGTTGATGTGAGAGAGTCACATCAATTGGTTGCCTTCCACATGACCCTGACTGGGGCCAGAGATCAGTCCTGCAACCCAGGTACATGCCCTTGACCTGAATTAAACCCGCAACCCTGTAGTCTGTGAGCCAATGCTCTAACCGCTGAGCCAAACTGGCAGGGCCCATATCATATATATGGGTAAACTGAGGACAGAAAACACATAATGGGCTGGGGGCACACATGTCTCTCTTCCACAGTACTTTTTAAAAATTTTATTTTTGTTACATATGTTTCTCCTTTTTACCCCATTGGCACCCTCCTCCCCATACCCCCCTGCCATGTCCCTGGCTTTGTCATCCATGTCCATTGGTTATGCGTACATGCATGTAAGTTCTGTGGTTTATCTTTCCACCCCCCACCACCCCCTCTTCTGAGGGTTGTCAGTCTGTACCCTACTTCCATTTTTCCTGGTCTACCCTATTCCTCAGACTGGTATGTTCATTATATTCCGTATATAAGTGAGATCATGTGGTATTTGTTTTTTTCTGCTTGGCTTGTTTCACTTAGGATAATACTTTCCAGGTCCCTCCATGTCGTCTTAAAGGATAAGAGATCTTTCTTTCTTGCAGCTGCATAGTTCTCCATTGTGTATATGTACCACAGCTTTTTGATCCATTCGTCTACTGATGGATACTTGGGCTGTTCCCAGATCTTAGCTATTGTTAATAGTGCTGCTATGAACATGGGGGTACATATATTCTTTCTGATTGGTGTTTCAGGCTTCTTAGGGTATATTCCTAGAAGTGGGATCACTGGGTCTAATGGCAGTTCAATTTTTAATTTTTTGAGGTAACACCATATTGTTTTCCATAGTGGCTGCACCATTCTGCATTCCCACCAGCAGTGTACTAGAGTCCCCTTTTCTCCACACCCTCGCCAACACTTGTTGTTTGATGATTTGTTGATGGCGGCCATTCTGACAGGTGTGAGGTGATACCTCATTGTTGTTTTAATTTGCATCTCTCTGATGATTAGTGATGTTGAGCATTTCTTCATATGTCTCTTGGCCATCTGTATGTCCTGTTTGGAGAGGTGTCAATTCAGCTCCTCTGCCCATTTTTTAATTGGGTTCTTTGTCTTTCTTTTGTTGAGTTGTATGAGTACTCTATATATTTTGGAAATTAACCCCTTATCTGATGTATCATTGGCAATGATGTTCTCCCATACAGTGGGTTGTCTTTGCATTTTGATGGTTGTTTCTTTTGCTGTGAAGAAGCTTTTTAGTTTGATGTGGTCCCATGTGTTCATTTTTTCCTTCATTTCTGTTGCCTTAGGTGATGTATCAGTGAAAATTCTGCTGAGTATGATGTCTGAAATTTTGTTGCCTACATTTTCTTCTAGAATTTTTATGGATTCATGGATCACATTTAAGTCTTTTATCCATTTTGAGTTTATTTTTGTTTATGGTGTAAGTTGATGGTCTAGTTTCATGTTTTTGCATGTAGCTGTCCAATTTATTAAAGAGGCTGTCTTTACTCCACTGTATGCTCTTGCCACCTTTGTCAAATATTAATTGAGAATATTGCCTTGGGTCCATTTCTGGGTTCTCTATTCTGTTCCACTGGTCTATATGCCTGTTCTTGTGCCAGTACCAGGCTGTTTGATTACAGTCGCTGTGTAGTATAACCTGATATCTGGTATTGTGATCCCACCTACTTTGTCCTTCTTTTTAATTTTTTTCCATTTTTTTTTTTTTTTATCCTCACCCGAAGACATTTTTCCATTTTTTGTTCAGGTAGAGTGGGAGGGAGAGAGAGGAACAGAGAGAGAGAGAGAAACATCGATGTAAAAGGAACACATCGAGTGGCTGCCACCCGCACGGCTGACCAGGGCCGGGGACAAACTGCAACCAAGGTACATGCCCTTAGCGGGAACCGAACCCGGGTCTCTCAGGGCCGCAGGCCGACGCTCTAACCGCTGAACCAAACCGGCCAGGGCTGTCCTTCTTTTTAAAAATTGCTGTGGCTATTTGGGGTCTTTCCACAGTACTTTTTTATCCCTCTTTCTGGGATTGGGTTTGCCACCAGTGGAAAGGTTGTATTTGAGGGTGTGTGAAGTCCCCTTTCGGGGTGATCTGCTGCATCCTCTTCCAACCATATTGTCTGACAAAGTCCGGATATGGAGAAGAAGGATTCAAGGAATGCATCTTCTAGGAAGAGGACGTAGCATGGGGGTGGGATTAATCGGTATTATGGGAATTGTAATATTGGGAATTATTATTCTACTATATGACTAACCTGAGAATAACAAACAAGGTATCTGAAGTCATGCCTCTTCAATTAAATGCTGAAGAAACTCCAGCTTCCCCTGAAACAGTCACCACTCCATGTCCAGACTGTCTTAATAATGTACTAACTCAATTAGGTAAAAATTTCCCCCAAAAGTCCCTAATAAACAATTCATGGATGAATTATGACAGGTAGAACTAATGGAGGCACCTTATACTCACTCCTGTGCCTCCTCCCCAGATAGAAAGAGTATTTCAAGAGAATAAAAGAAAATTGTATTGACCCCTACTCACTGCTCAAGGGTTTCCTTATATAGCTTATTGGATAATAGGAAAACTATGGTACCCACTTAGAGTGGCTAGAAGTATACAAAGAATTCCTGACCCTCCCTTGCCCTTACAGGAGCATATAATGAAGATAGAATAAGAATAGTTAACAAAGACAGACTACATATTCCTTATGCAAGCTTGCCTTCATGGAAGATTGGTATGCCAAGGTCCCCTTGGTGTTTACGCACAAAGGAACAAAAGAAATCTCAATAATTACAATTGAATAGGTCTTATAAGAAATGTTGTCCTGAGTTAGTTAGGGAGGTAAATTAAAAACTAGCTGATCTAAAAACCCAGAACTAGATTTTAAATAAAGGTCAACTATTAATCTCAGACAAAGGGCCTATAGAAAACTCTGTCTCGCCCTGGCCAGTTTTGCTCAGCGGTTAGAGCATCGGCCTGCGGTCCTGGGAGACCCGGGTTCGGTTCCCACTAAGGGCATGTACCTCCGTTGCAGTTTGTCCCCGGCCCTGGTCGGTTGTGCGGGTGGCAGCCTCTTGGTGTGTTCCTTTCACATCGATGTTTCTCTCTCTCTCTCTCTCTCTGTTCCTCTCTCTCCCTCCCACTCTACCTGACAAAAAAATAGAAAAATGTCCTATGGTGAGGATTAAAAAAAAAAAAAAAGAAAGAAAAGAAAACTCTGTCTCACCTTACAGGTTTACTCCCTTCTTTGTATCTATAAACACAAAAAGTTATAAATTAATTCTGATAAAAATGAAAGTAACATCCTAGTACTATGGAATGTAACTCCCTGCTTCTTAAACCTCAAATGTTAAATTTATGCCAAAAAAGAAAGTATATAAGCACATAGAAACTTGCAATAAATTGGAAGAGTGTCACACTTCCTCTGAGTCGTGTAGTCATCTGTCTCCCAGCACCAATGCCTTACCACCTTTGGGGCCCCCTGGATCCCGCTGCAGCTGGATTGCAGCAGTGATTCCTGGCTCAGCAGGGCTGCCATTAGCAGGCAGAGGGAACTCTAACAGGAGAGATTTGGCTAAGCTCCAGTGTGGGGGACGGAGGTGGGCCCTGAGATCCTGAGGGAGGGAGTAGGGAAAGGATGAGCGACTCTGCTGTCCTTTTCTCATTAAACTTCTTTCTCAGTCATAAGGACAGTTGCCCCCTGGTGAGCACTGGTTGTGGAGATGGAGTCTGTGTGCAGGATCGCATGGAATCTTCGTAAGACTGGGGCTGGGTCACCCTTGCTTTGCAGTTAAGAAGACCAAGACTCCATAGAGCCACTTGCTGGAGGTCACAGGTAATAATAAGTGGCAGAGCTAGGCTATGAATCCTCTCCTTTGTT